TCAGTGCAGTTATGAAGCTGTGGTCAGTCTAGCTGGATGCTGTATTTCTACTTGCTGACATCCAGTACAAGAGTCACACACACCTGGTCTCACAGAAGCCTGCCCGCTCTGCTCGGAGGTGTCCTAGCAACCTGGCCGCAGGCCGAGCTGGCTCGGGCTCAGTGGCCATGAAACAAGTCTTTTCTTCTGAGCAGCTGAGGCGAGAGCCATTATCTCGAACAGGCGACCGGTTTCCGTGCGACACTGCAGACCTGACTCACTGCAAAGGTACACACTCACACCAGGGCCAGTTTTCCCAGAAGCCAATTCAGCTTCCAGGGAGGAAACTGGAGCACCTTGAAGGAATCTACACGAACACAGGAAGAACATGCCAACTCCACACAGACAGCACCCCCAAGGCCAGAATTAATAACAAACCACTCACCACTGCGTCACAGGTAATGGGGACTCCCCTCCACCACCACCAATGTGCAGCAACCTGGATGATGCAACGGCAGCCATAGTGCGCTATAGAGGGGGATTATTAGGAGGCCATGATTGGTAAGGGCCAATTGGAAATTTGGCCAGGACACCGGGGTTACACCCCTACTCTTTTCGAGAAACGCCCTGGGATTTTTAATGCCCACAGAGAGTCAGGACCTCGGTTTTACATCTCATCCGAAAGACAGCACCTGTTTACAGTACAGTGTCCCCGTCACTATACTGGGGCATTAGGACCCACACGGACCACAGGGTGAGCGCCCCCTTCTCGCCCCACTAACACCTCTTCCAGCAGCAACCTTAGTTTTTCCCAGGTGGTCTCCTATCCAGGTACTGACCAGGCTCACACCTGCTTAGCTTCAGTGGGTTGCCAGTTGTGAGTTGCAGGGTGATATGGCTGCTAACCATATCAAGGTTAGGCGCCGGCTCCCCCTTGATCCCGAATTGGAAGAAGGGGTCAGAAAACTGATGGAGACATATGAATCGCAACTGCTCGAGCAGACGTTGGGGATTGTACAGCTTCACCCTGCGTGGTTAGAAAGTGCAATAACGTGTTTCAGCAGAGCAGACCGTGAGAAGATATTTATGGAATGAACCTCTGTTTCACGCCTGCTTCACAATTCATTACGAACCGAGTTCGCAGGTTTCGCGGTGGCAATCAGTGTCTGCCGGGCAGTGATTTCGGTTCTGCCTCGTAAGTAACGCAGGGTCAAGTGGGCTTGTCGCAGGGGAGTCGTCACAGAGTTTTCTTCTCACACGGAGGAGAGACAGGACCGCAGCCCGTCCGGGGAGCCGCGACCGCGAGTTTACTCCATAGGCGACGCATTCACAGAGCCGCCTCTCCCGTGTGAAATCGTCTACAACGGTTCATAACGGTCAGAAAGACCGAAAAGACTGTATGAGGTAACGGGAAGAAAATATCGCCGTTCCCGGTCAGGCTCGGCCCGGGCCAGTGAAGGTGCGCGGACACCCGGAGCTCCGAGGGCGTTTCGTGGTCTCCGGGCTTGACGACTGCCGTGCCTGTGAGGTGAGGACGGGAGTTTAGTAACGCTACCTAGCGTTGTCTGGGTAGCCGCAGAGTCAATAGAGCCAGAGAGCCAGCTGAACCGTCGCCTGCTGTTGACTTAGCGGCTGTTTACCGAGAGACCCGCCCGGACCGCAGCGCCGCTCCGGAGATCAGCAGCTCCCGGCTTCAGCTCAAATTGTTATTTTTTAAGCCACCAGTAATTCAGGACCTTCCGCGTTCCTCACCCTCCCCTCCTTGGAACAGCGAAAACCGCATGAGAAGGTAAGGCTTCTGTCCACCGCCTTCAGACAGCTTTCTGTCAACCTGGCAAGGAAAAAGCTCTCTAGCTGCGCTCCGCTCCGCGGTGTGGACTACTGTTTCCACCACTATAATAATAGTATATCGCTACATATTATTTATTACACTTTTGGACACTCCAGTCACAGTGCTTTACAGGTAATGGGGACTCCTCTCCACCACCACCAGTGTGCAGCCCCACCTGGATGATGCAACAGCAGCCATAGTGCGCCAGTACTCTCACCACACACCAGCTCTCAGTGGGGAGGAGAGCAGAGTGATGAAGCCAGTTCAGAGATGGGGATTATCAGGAGGCCATGATTGGTAAAGGCCAGGGGGAAATTTGGCCAGGACACTGGGGTAACACCCCTACTCTTTTCAAGAAACACCCTGAGATTTTTTATGACCACAGAGAGTCAGGACCTCGGTTTTATGTCTCATATGAAGGACGGGACGTTTTTACAGTATAGTGTCCCCGTCACTGTACTGGGGCATCAGGACCCACATGGACCAGAGGGTGAGAGACCCCTGCTGACCTCTCTGACACCTCTTCCAGTAGCAACCTTACAGTAGTTCGGCCCAGGAGGTCTCCCATCCAGGTTCTGACCAGGCTAAGACCTGCTGAGCTTCAGGGGGCTGCCAGCTGTGAGTTGCCAGGTGACATAGCTACTGTCTTTTCAGTAAATATTCCAAATACTTATGGATATAATAAATATGTTGGCTCCATATAAATATGTAGTATACATCAGCCTTCACCTGGGCGACACTGGGTACCTTTTCTTCACCAGCTGCACTAGATCAGCTCCTTATTGGCTTAATGAGACCAGATAAGAAGCTTTTCCCAGCTCTTCAGGACTGCAGACACTCCCTGGGCCTACTTTAACTGTATCTTGTCTGAAATGAGTAAAAGGGATCAGGGAAGCAGAATATCAATGATGTGATTGATATTGATGATGATGATATGATGATGGTGAAATTGGTGACGACAGTGGTGATGATGATGGTGATATTGGTGATGATGATAATGGTGATATTGGTGATGATGATAATGATGTGATTGATATTGATGATGATGATATGATGGTGATATTAGTGATGTTGGCAGTGTTGATGATGGTGATGATGATGGTTATATTGTTGAGCATGATAGCGGTGATGATGATGGTAACTGTTGTTTACAGGCTGAACTAGAAGAACGAGAAAACGAGCCTCAGCACAACGTCCTGGGGAGGATGCAGAGACGGGAGGACTGAGAGACACTGTGAAAGGAAGATGTCCTCTTTTCTCAGCAAGCTGGGTTCTGAGATGGACTGGCTGCAGATGCTCAGGAACACCTCTGTCCTTGTGGGGACCGGGACTGAATCAGTGAGTGACCACCGGGGGGCGCTCTGGAGCCTGCACTGGCTCTGGGGACAGGGGGACAGGGAGAGAGGAAGGACGGGGGGCGGGCCCTCCTCTGTGCCCTATTCCTACCAGGTGTCCCACCTGTTCGTGGGGCTCACCCTCCCCCTGTCCCTGTCCCTGCTCTTCCTGCTGGGCATCTTCAACATCCTGATCCTCTGCAACCTGCGGAGCAGCAGGGCCGGCCTCAGGCCCCCTGGGGGCCGCGTCTCCGGGCCCACCGCTCGGGCGCTGGTCTCCATGGGGGTGGCAGACACCGCCCTGTGCATGACCGCGGCGCCCACTGTGCTGCTGTCCGACCTGGGGGTCCCATTCCCCTTCTACCCCTGCCTGCTGCTGAGCTGCACCGTCCTGGGCTGGGCCATGGTGTCCTCCTTTCACCACGTGCTCATGGCGTACTACCGCTGGAAGCTGATCACGCAGCCGCACAGGTGAGCGCGGTGGGGGGGGGCAGGAGCGCTGAACACGAGACGGGAGGCAAACGAGAGGAGCTCCTCCAGCTCATAGCTAATGGATCCCAGGAGCTCATCCAGTTGTTTCTTGGGAGAAACCAGGGTATCGGCTTTAACAACATAGATGGATAGCCTGCTCCCTGCTTCCACCACCCTTTGTGCAAAGAAGTGCCTCCTGTTCCAGTAGTTCCCAGTTGTGTCCTCTGGTGGGGGTTGCAGTGTTCATGCATGGTGTTATTCACGGTGGAGATGAGAGTTCAGGGCTCTGATATTGTCGCTGATATACCCAGCTGCGTACAGTATATAAGGATTAGTGTGACTTGCTTTTGATCATTCTCTTTAATCACTATATTGATCAATATATATATATATCAGTATGGGTATGTGGATGGGATGAGTGCCGTCCAGTCGGTGTCGACTCATGGTGACCCTATGGTCACTATCCCCCGGCACTATCCATAGACTTTTCATGGCAAGATACGGGAGTAGACTGCCAGGCCTTTCTTCTGTGCAGATAATGCGAGTGTTGTTGCCGTTGTCAGGGAATCGTGATCCTCCGCTGCCAACCCCACCTTCCCACTCCCACTGCTGCAGCCCACTGTGGGTTATTAGAGAACCTTGCCCCCGACGTTGATCACGAACCCACTACCCTGAGATTGAGTCTAACGCCCTACCAACACAGCTAGTCGAGGCGGTATACTGATCAGTTAATCAGGATACTTATTAACAGTATACGGTCGGGTGTGTTTGTACATCTGCCTCATTCTGCTTTTGAAATATTTGTCCAGTAACGAGAGACATTCTGGCTCCGGTTGGTATTTCTCTGCCTGTGCTGCGCTGGACTGAGCTGAGAGAGCGGGCGCCCCTCATTCTCACTCTCAGAGGGCGGACCTGTCTGTCCAGCGGTCTGGCCCTCTGTCTGTCTGGGTGTGGAGATGTACAGTTGTATCAAATATAAAAAAACTTCATTTAGGGCTGCGAGGGTCTGGATCAAGCAATCCCCGCCCAATTGTTGAAGCTGGTGCCCTGGTGTCTTTCACAAAACAGCTGGACAAGACCCTTCAGTTAGGACAGCAGGCATCTGAGGAGTCTGGAAGCTGCTGTCCACTGGCCTGTAAGAATCTGACCAAGCCTGACGCTGTCCTCAGACACACACTGGTGACAAACCAACAGTTAGCTGAACCTACACAATGGATATAGATAATAGATCCTGCAGATACTCCATCAGTACATCAGTACATTTTAAAAAACTGTCATAACTATTTATTTCATTGTTACATTCATGTGAGAGGTGTAATGTGCAATTTAAACAGATCTGTCTGTATAATAAACTGCAGATTTGTGTCTGTGTGTGGTACACTGCAGTGTCTTCAGCCAGTAGGTGTTGGCACTAACTCTCCTCTCTCCCCTCTGCAGCAGTCGGGGTAGACAAGCGTGGAGCTCCTCCCTGTTCCCTCTGTCTTTGTGCTGGGTGGCTGGCGTTGCCATCAGCTGCCTGCCTTACCTGGGCTACAACAACTACCCCAATCTACAGGCCGCCTCCTACAGCGCTGCAGCCAATCACAGCCCTGGAGTCAACCTGAGCTCCCTCACTCACCCAGCCAATCACAGCCCCGCACCCAGTCATATTTCCGCCACTACAGCCAATCACAGCCCTGGAGTCAACCTGAGCTCACTCACTCACCCAGCCAATCACAGCCCCACACTCAGCTATGTTCCCGCCACTACAGCCAATCACAGTCCTGGGCTCACTTACACCACCACTTCTGCAGCCAATCAGAACCCCGCAGGCAGACAGATTCCCTTCAGCGCAACACCTTACGTCTCGGAAGATGCACTGAAAGAATATGCTTTCCAAAGCGTGCCAGCACGCACCTACTCTGCATCACCGAACAACCCCAGAGTCCCCTTCATGAAGGATCTGTTAGCGTTCACTGTTCCCAGTTTGACCACTCCCATCTCTCCATCTGTTCACCGATGGCCTAACTCTGCTGTGAATTCCAGTAAGAGAGCATCCCCTGGTCACACACCTGGAGCTCCACAGCAGCCTCCTGCCTCCTCACACAGCGATAGAGTTTGCTGTCCTAGGCCTGTTAACATCCATCCTCAGACTAAGCCTTTCGTATCCACCTGGAGTGCACCAGTGACTGACCACAGTTCCAGGGGGGTGTACAGGAAGCCAGCCCTACCCCACCAACACTCCCCGCAGCCAGTCAGCGACAGAGATGTCGAAGCCTTCTCTCTTCTCACTGACACGCCCTCAGCCAGGTATAGCTCTCTTTCGGGGCACAGGGTCACGTCAAGGCAAGTCCAGAACCCTGGGCCGGTCAATGGGGCCAAGACTCCACAGTCTGCAGCAGCCATTGGGCCTGGAAGCAGTCAAGGTGGTATCAAACCAGCCGGACTCGGTGTCCTCCCCCCCGAGTACCAGCCGATGGCGTCAGACCTCCGCCAGGAGAGTCACATGATCCCCCAGGGCAACCGCGACGGACTCGCCTTCACTACCGAGACCCCTGCCTCCGACAGCACGCCCACAACCCCCGGAGAGTCACTCTCGAGTTTGCAGCAGATGGAGAAGGACCCCGGGCGACCTCTGACCTCGCCGCACCACCTGAAGCCATATTTCCCGCTGCCACGTGCCCTGAAAACCCCCACCTTGGAGTGCGCTGGCAGCCCCAGCTCCTGCCGGGTCCCCTGCATCTACCAGAACGTCTTGTCCCTCACCTACCTCACCTACGTCGTCTTCCTGTGCGGGGTGACTCTGCCCCTGGGCGTGACCTGCCTCCTCTACTGCCTGGCCTTCCGGGCCATCCGGGCGCACTGCCGCGGCCGGGCCCTCCTCTCGCCCCCCGCCTCCTCCGCCCCCCGCGCGCCCTCCCACAATTCCCTGTTCTACCTCCGGCAGAGGCGCGTGGCCAGGCTGACGGCGCTGCTCTTCGGCCTGTACGTCCTGTCGCGCCTGCCCTTCAACCTGCTGAACGCTGTCATGCTGCTGTGCCCCTCCTGCCCCGTGCCGTACTGGGCGCCCCCGCTGGCGATCCTGTGCGCCGTCTTCAGCGCCGCCTCCAACCCCCTCATCTACCTGGTGAGGGGCGAGGGGAAGCTGGCCAAGGTGCTGAGGCAGGCCCTGTCGCCGAACCAACACTAGGGGGCTTTATTCCGAAAAAACACACATCTCAAAAGGAAAACATCTCGCACAATAACACTCCACAAGTTAAAACAACGGCGGAACGGCGGTGATTGTCCGTTATCAATCCTTGCAAGGGTGGGTCCCTCCAAACCCTGCCGCTTGCTGTAAACCATTAATCCCTGTACAGGGTCCATAGGCCTTTCCGGCGCTCCTTTGCCGTGGGGAAACCCCATTTAGCAACGTCGCGCTTCATCCTCCTCCTGAGGTCCGCCAGGATCCTCTCCTCCAGCTCCCTCGCTCCCCACTCGATGTTGTGCCGGATGAGATTGTTCCTCGCGTCCCACAGGCCTTTCTTTGTGAGGGACAGCAGCAGCCACATCAGGAACTGCGTCCCCCTGTCCAGTCCGGTAGGTGCCAGCCCCAGCAGGACGTACTGGTAGCTGAGCACCGCATTCGTTTCCAGGAGTTGCATGATGTTGTCCATTCTGCCCCACACCGCCTTGGCGAAGGGGCAGCTCCAGAAAACGTGCTCCTGAGTCCCCGCCGGCCGGGGGCTTGGCGGTTGGGTCGGGAGGCTCTTCAGCGGAGGGGCAGGAGGCAGTCCTGAGCTCAGTGCACACGGCACCGCGGCGCTGGGTCTGTCCCACAGCACAGCCAGACCCTTTCGCACACTGCAGCCTCACGATTACACCACACAGCACAGGACAGAGGTGCTTCAGGCTCAGGCGGTTTTCGTTCTGTTCTTGAAAACTGATCATTTCTTCTCTTTAAGACCTCAGTAGGAGGAAAACCTGTTACTGCTGTTTTTACAAAGTCATTTCTTGTTGTACTTCAACAGACAGGTTTTTGACTGATACTAAATTTCGTAGTTGAGTTCCCACAGTCCAGTAATAATCCCCCTTTTCCACAGTGTGATTACACGCTAACACAAAAACCTTGAACCTGCGGATATACGTGTATTCAGTGTTTGTGAGTGTTGTTTCTCTGTGTACCGTGTTCTCTACATCCCAGGCTGTGCAGGAGAGCTTCAGACGCAGATGAGACCCTGTGCGATTTCCTCCTGACCAAATCGAAGTGCAAACTGAGGCGGATGTAAAGTGTTTGGTGAATATCGCCCCTTGCGGGTGTTTCTCTGCATGCATCCTTCTGTCGCGATATTGCTGCATCTTTGTCTTCTCGTTAATAAATAAAAGCTATGCTGATGAAAACGAAATGTCCTGGATTGTCTCACTTGGCGGTGTGATGGCTGTTAGGGGTCTACGGTGGAGTCGCAGTGAGAACTGCCGGTTGCGCAGCCGGATTTAAAGGCTTTGCAGTCGTGGTGCCCAGCAGAGGGCGCTATGAGCTTTTCTAGCAGTAAAACACGATCTGGTCTGCGGCGTGCAGGGGCTCTACTGCCCGCCTGGCGAGCCTCTTCTGGATTGAGACCATTTCACGGCTCTGAAAAACCTCATTCGTTAGTGCTACGTTTGTGCGGTTTGTGCTGCTTTAATTCCCGAGATATAGCGCCTTGTTTTTCCGGTGATCACGTGAACATGCACGGTGACTTTGACCTCTAGTGACCTTGTCTTCCGGGTTCAAGTGTTTAGCTCGTACCGTTAACATTTTAAAGACAATCAATATCCATAAACATATGAGCCTCCTTAGATGTGAATAACACTAAGACATGACGCATGCCAACAAGTTTACCATCTATGACATAAACCAGTGGTTGTAATCTATGTAAAATCACCGAGATTGTAAGATCTATGGTTTTTATTTTCTAAGGTACGTTTTCCTTTTCTTTGTTGCCAAACACCTAACTGTGGGATACCATCGCGACAAGACCCCCACAGCATGTCCTGATAGGAACTCCTTGTATATCGCGGCAGTGTATATCACGACTGGTGCCATGCTTCCATGCCACCCTGACAACAAAGGTCTCATATCAGGACATGATATAACCAGATAGTACGTGTTGCAATATATGGACTTTGTGTTGCGACATGGGGTCAGCATATCCTGTAAGAGTATTGTAACGCAACGGGGGCTCAGGCGGGCGCCCTTGCCGCATTAGGTCGGCCCCTGCACCGTCCGGGGCTCGAACCCGGGACTTCCGCGTCTCTCTGCAGCGACCTAGCCCCGTGAGCCAAAGAGAGATCTCTCCATAGCCCAGTAGCTGTGGTCCTGCTATCACAGGGAAGGGCGGTGACGTCACCCGCTCTGGTACGCCGGCTCTTACACACACTGCTTGTCGGCCGTAAGCGTTACAGTATGTTCTATCACAGCATATGGACTCCATTACGTGACATGAGGACGGGGGATTTCGTCGGGGGTATGTCATATCGCGATATACGGGCTTCATGTCGTGACATGGGCGTGACAGTTTTGGTCATATCGCGATATATGGACTCCATGTCGCGACATGGGGGGGGGGGGAGTTTTGGCTGGGTATGTCATATCGCGATATGCGGGCTCTATGTCGCGACATGGGCGGCGGGGGCTTTTTGTCGGGGTATGTCATATCGCGATATATGGACTTAATGTCGCGACAGTGGTGCCATGACCGTGATGCGTGCACTCCTATCGTGACATGCTATCGGAGTCGTGAACGCGCTGTGGATGCCACGACATTCTTTGTCTGCTATTCAGTTTTGACCTAAGTGCGACTTCTCTTAGATTGATCAGTAATTGGAAACCAATGGATTTGTTACTGTATAATCCAGCGTGTTCATACAGCACGCACGCTACACACAGAGCTTCCGCTGTGGCGCTTTACCCAATCAGAGTGTCGTTTCTCACTCTTCACCCAATCGCGACCCGAACTGTTCGGGGGTTTAGCCAATCACGGGTCTGAGAGCTGCTCAAGCTAGCAGCGCCAGGTGGATCGGCTAGTCTACTGTCAATGAGAATCTTTTTTTTTAAATGCTTTATTTATTTGCAAAATAACTACATGGGCTTATTTTTTTAACGTCTTTATTGATTCACAATGTCCCGTACTCTTCAGAATAAATACATTTTTTATTTGCAATATAAATGTCTCCGCTGCTTCCTATAATGAATACATGGTATTTGAATAATTTTAATCGTTAATATTTAAGGAAACACAAAGATAAAAGCACTGTGAGCTCATCGCTTCATGTTTGCGCATAAGACCCCTGTAGATACAACACACGGATAATGTTTATTAAAGAAATCAGATATATGTTCACTTCTGTTATGTGAAAATAAAATATATGTTTCCAGTATTGCCGCGGTCCGCAGGTGCGAGACGGTGGACTTTCCAGTATTGCTTCTCGGATGTGTTATTTACTACTCGCGATAACCTTGTACGTTGTGTCCCTTAAAAAACACCGTGGTTCTTTTTCACGTTAACGAATGTGCTTTAAATAAAAAGTGCAACAGTGGTCTTGTTGTTCGTAAAGTTGCAGATTCAAGCCTTTTTGAACACGTGGCTCGACTGACGGTCGAATCTTTATACGTCCCTTGGTGCGCGTGTTTATTTAAGAAGGAGACAGTGAGAAAAAAGCACACCGCTACGAAGTATGAAGACGTGCTCGTTAAAGCCTCTTGGTAAGAACATGCAACTGTTCGCTAGTGTTTACTTTTTCAGACTACACCCGCAACTCTTCTGATTAGGGTATGTGATATTCTTGACATTTAATTTTCCTGCTCACGGAAACGCACAGAAGACACTGATATTAAATGCAAAATCCACCGCCCACCCGGGCAGAGGAACACAGTTGCAGAACTGTAACTCTCACACCGGTAACAGACGCTTGAACTCGGCAGACGGGGTCACCGGAGGTCAAAGTCACCGTGCGTGGTCACGTGATCACCGGAAAAACAAGGCGCTATATCTCGGGAACGAAAACAGTACAAACCGGCCCAAACGCAGCACTAACGGATGAGGTGGGTTTAATCGTTTGTGCTGTCTGTAGGGGGGCTGACTTCATGGAGCTCAAGGTAAACCCTGCATGGTATTTTAAATACAATATTTCGGACGGATTTTGAATCTTGCGTTTTGCAACGCATACGTTTTGCATAACTTCAGAGGAACTCGTAAAACTACTGAACAATCTAAAAGCAAGCATACGAAATACTTAGAACTGTTATAAGCAACAAGTGAAAATGAGCTCTTGCAGCTTTTCTTTAGATTCCTTATATGAGAGACCTTTGCAAACTAGCCGTCATTTGAACGGGAATTTGCCGACTCTTAGACAGTGACGAGATTATCGCCATATTCAATTCCAAGCCCCGACCCTGCCTCTGGTCTAGAAGGTCGAAACCTCACAACAGAGGCAGGCACTGATTGTGTGTGTGTCCGCCGTGGCACAGTAGCGTTCGGCAGCCTCGGTAATTGTTGCTTAACCTGTGTGTGTTTGTGAGTGAGTGAGTGAGAGAGAGAGAGAGAGACAGTATGTGTATATGAGGTTCCGCTAATTCTGCTGTTTGATTATACCGCTCGAGGACTGCATTGTAAATTGGAGGGGTGTCCCTATGCTGGCAGGACGGCCAGTTAGAGCCCGGACCACCCACTTTTGCACAGGCCCACCCAAAAATCAATTCCTGGCCACGCCTCTGCTTTTACCAAACTTGTACACCACAGGAAGCATGATGTGTGTCGTGCAAAATGTTTTGTTGAGGTCGGAACAGCACAACCATCGCATTGAATACAAAGTACATGGTGCTGTTTAAAAACCCTAGATATGAACTACAGATTACTGTGCTGGCCTGTCAGATGTATCTCTGTAAACCCATTATTTTGGAAGCGTTCGAAGACGCTACTAGCAGCCTCTAGGTTACTTGCGGATGGATTTAAGTGCAAGCACACTTAAGCACACCGATCGAGACAGGTCTTTCCTCCCAGATGTACCAGTGGCTTGTGTATTCACACAATCTGAAAGCCGATGATTTCACACGCGCAGTGTGGGTCACAGTCGAGAAATCGCACTCAGGCTGTGAGCGTGTCTTCCCGCGTGGCTGTCTCACAGTTACCAGTAAGAGCTGCACCCCGCCAGCACAAAGCTCTTCTCCGTGGGGCTTCCGACAACCTTGTTCAGACAATCGCGGAAATCGCTCTGAAGACCCTGAAAGGAAAGATACCTCTAACTTCTGAACAGTCTGGGGCCCTGAACAAAAGGCGTGTTTCTAAAGACTGAGGCAAAAGGGTGTTTCTCTCCAAAGAAACTCTTAGTTAACCATCCGGGAGGTTTTAGTGGGACACGAGTGAGTAGTGTGAAGTCAGTCGGGCTTTCTGTCCATTAGCCATCTTACAAGCAATGTTTGTGCTGGTTCAATAAAAGTTTTCTTTTTAATTAAAAGCGAATCAGGCGTCTGTGCACCGGAGAAGCACTGCCGCCCTGTGGCGGCATCTGGTACTGCACAGAACCTCCTCTCCCTGTTCTCCCTCTCTAAAAGGAGAGCTTCAAGAGCCGTACTGCAATGATCGATGAATTCCAAGGTTTCCAAAGTTAGACAGCATTAAAATAATTACAAAACAAATCGAAAAATAAAACATTTGACAGCGGGCAGCACGTTGCTCAGGGATTAACTTTGCCACCTCAAAGCGCTGGGGCCCTGGGTTCAGTTGCTGTCTGTGTGGAGTTTGCATGTTCTCCCCATGTTCAAGTGGGTTTCCTCTGAGTGCTCCAGTTTCCTTCCACACTTCAAAGACATACTGGCTGAAAACGTGGCCCTGTTGTGAGTGTGTTTGTGTCTGCGATGCCCTGTCTTACCGTGTGTACACTGCCTCGTGCCCGCTGCTTGCTGGGATAGGCTCCAGCTCCCCCTGATCCTGTACTGCGTTAAGTGGTTAGAACATGGATGGGTTCTTTGACAGGTTAATTCCTGAGTTTCCTCCCCCAGTAGGATTGTAAATAGTTCTGATTCTGCTAGATGTGGGAATTCTGGGATTAGATGTATTATTTTAGGGAAGAATGTTTTATCAACCCAGAGTTTCTCGCTGTACAGCAGAAAATGCATCTCTGTTGCTGCCTTCACCTTGGTGGCTGTGGTCAGTGAGCCTGTCCTCTCTGGACAGCCACGTCTGTCTGTGTCCAGTTTCTATGGCCAGGCTGTGGTCACTGAGTCTGTCCTCTCTGGGCAGCCATCTGATCCATTTGAAGCTTTATAGTGACTGTCTGTGTCCAGGCTGTGGTCACTGAGCCTGAACTTCATCATTATCTGTTTCTCTTTGCTGTTTCTTACCTTGCTCAGATAGTCAGCTAGTGTGTCATATCAGGGACCTGTAGCGTTCCAGCGTGTGTGGTGTTGGTGTGATTGTATCCCAGTGGGTGAGGCAGTGTTGTCTGGCTGGTGCTGTGATGTGGTTGACTTTGATTTGTGCTGTTGTAGCTGTGCTGCCGGTTCAACAGGGCCTTGTAAAGGTGTTCGGTGCTCAATCCTGAGTAATTGCTTTCAGGATTCAATCCCGGTACCTGCACATGTTTGGTATTTGTGCTTAAAGTGTGGATGTTGCTTCAACATTCAATGCCTGTGACAAAACACCAGATTGAAAAGTTACGCGGTACTTGCTTTTAATTCAGTATTCAAGAGACACAAGCCATTCACGAGTCATTCTGAGTCATTTCCGGTGTTGGCTGCTTCTTTGAAAGTATTTGCCCTTTCCTGCCGGCGTTCCTGTCCTCGAACAGCTGGCAGTTCAGGTTGCTCTGCAGGCCGCTGCTCTCCAGAAGGATGACCCTTCTGCACTCTCTCAGGGAGGAGTCTGCCTGCCCGTCTCTCACCTCGAACTTCTCATGGGGGGGCACCAGCACCTCCCGCTCCCTGGGGAGCAAGGACAGGTTCCCCAGTTCCGCCCCCAGGCACGTCAGGATCTGGAAGCAGGTCCTCCTGCCGAAGCCCTTGGCTACCTTGGGGTCCAGAGAAGTGGAGGTGAAGGAGCTGAACCGGACCTGGCGGCCGGTGTGGGCGGCGAACGTGTGCACGGACCCCCGGAACGTCCAGCGGCACTGTTTTCCGGAGTGCTCCTGCAGCAGGCGGATGGAGTCGGCCAGGAGGAAGTGCAGGGCCTTGTACTGGAAGGAGTCCCTGTAGCTCCTGCCCTGGGTGCGCACTGCGCTGTTGAATTCCTTGTAGATGGGGAAATTCCCCTCGCGGGTGTAGACGTGGATGGCGATGGCGTGGTTGTAGGTCATCCCGGGTGCGAGGTCAGCCAGAGTCTTATTCTTAAACTCCCTCTGAGCGTGTTTCCAAGCCTTGCTAAGCTTTTCCACCAGTTCCTTTGTGAGGAGGGTCCTGCTGACTGCTTCTGCCATCTGATGGTTACACTGCATGTAGGCATCATCGACGGAATCGGGGCACATGCTCATTATGATCTGGCTTGGGACCCGAACCTGCAGAAGAATTCAAGTTCATTCCAGGATTTGCAGTGCTCTCAAGACAGTCTGATCCACTCCAGGTTTTACACTGCTCTCAGACACACTCCCACTGCACAGGGGTCTGATCCGCTCCAGGCTTTACACTGCTCTCAGACACACTCCCACTGCACAGCGGTCTGATCCGCTCCAGGATTTACACTGCTCTCAGACACACTCCCACTGCACAGCGGTC